ACTATCTCTGCTGATTGATCGTTTTGCAGCTGGACACACATATTTATAGTTAATTTTAATGTATTTACATGACACCACAAAGTAGAATATTTCAGGCAAGCATTTATTTTGTCTACTGGTGTCAATCGAGGAATTACAGGTAATGTTTGCCTCAAATCTCCTGAAAGCAATATTAATGCATTCCCAAATGGTCTGATGTTTCCACGCAAATTTTGCAATGATCAATCAAGAGCCTCGAGTGATTTTTTGTGTGCCATTGTGCATTCATTCCAAACAATAAGTTTGCATTTCTACAATACTTTTGGACATGTTGCACATGGAGTTTCAATAAATTGCATGTTCAATGGCAATTTCAAAGCGGAATGAGCAGTTCTTCCACCTGGTAGCAATGTCGCAGCTATTCTGGAGGACGCAAGAGCTAAGACTATGTCATTTGGGGATCTAATTGCTACCAGATCAATCTAATTAGGAACGTTTTACCAGTTCCTCCTGGTTCATCTAAGAAGATTTCTCCAACCCCATTATTGACAGTTTGCATTATTTGATTGTAAATGCCTTTTTGCTCAAGCGTTAGCTTAGGAATATTTGATTGCACATAGGACAAAAGATCACCAGTGTTGTAATTTTGTTCACAATGAAATTCTACATCAAATGAAGCAGCAGATTGATTTGGTGATGGCATTCTCAATGGATTGAGAACTTTGTTAGAGATTTCTAAGCACAAATAATCATTATCAACTTTGAAATGGAATCATAAAATTGGAAATTTGGAAATCATAAATGGATAGTAAATCGGAAACATTGAAATGGAATCATAAAATATTTAGTATAACATGTGTTGCTTTTACCTCCAACAGATGGCGCTGTTTTTCAAAAAAGCATGTTTTTACCTGTCACAAGTGTGACATTTATATAATAGTAGGTATAAGGTATATAAAACCACACGCGAGTATTTGAATGCAACATTGTGTCAAAATTTCAAAGCAATTGGTGAAGAACTTTCGGAGATTTAAAATTTTGAACAAACGTACATTTACATTTTTATTTATATATTAATAAATACACACACACACACACACACACACACACACACAGCTGATGTGGTTGAGTGTCAACCTATGAACCAGGAGGTCATGGTTCAGTTCCCAGTCAGGGCACATGCCCAGGTTGCAGGCTCCATCCTCAATAAGAGGCATGCAGGAGGTAGCCAATCAATGCTTCTCTCTCATCATTGATGTTTTCATCCATCTCTCTCTCTTCCTTCCTCTCTGAAATCAATTTTAAAAATTTAAAATATGTATACATAAGTATAGAATAAATATAGATGTATGTGTGTATGTAAGTTCCAAAATCCATGCATAATTGAAGCCGAACTCTCTAAAATTTTCAATATAAGTTAAAATAATTACCAAGAGTGATTTTTTGTTTGTTTTTTAATTTTTTTTAATTGATTAAGGTATCACATATTTGTCCTCAAGCCCCCATTCCAATCCCCCACCCCTCCTCACTCATGCCCCCACCCCGGTATTGTCCTTGACCACTGGTTAGGCTCATATGTGTGCACATAAGTCCTTTGGTTGATCTCTCCCTTTTATCCACACCCTCCCTTTGAGGTCCAACAGTCTGTTTTAAGGGTGAAATTCTTCTCTTTGTCAAAGTTTTATTTGATTGTTGTAAATATTTTATCTTGAAATAATTTTAAACTTACAGAAAAAGTATATATATTCTCTAGTATGTGTAATGTTAGTCTAGTATTTTAAAATACTAGTAGTTTAATATTTTAGTATATGGAGAAACATTTCAATATCTAAAAAATGGTTAAATAATTTATAATATGCTCACACAACGGAATACTATATAACTATAAAAATTAAGTTTATTGATAGATTGCCTAGGTTATTATTGGTGAGTGTGACAGCATAGGAAGATATATGAGTTTGACTATGTTTTAAAAATATATGAAATCTGAAAAAAAGAATAGCAAATGTTAACAAAATTTACCTCTGAATAGTAAGTTTTGGTGAATTTATTTTTGGTGAATTTTATTTTCTCTACTTTAAGCATATACATTAATTTAAAATCAAAGGAGGCCTGAAGCATTTAAAAAGTTGTTCTGTGTAACAAGCATTAAGGCAAACGAAACTCAGCCAGGCAACATGACCATCTTGCCATGCGGCATGACCATCTTGCCATGCGGCATGTATATTCATGTGCCTCCTGGGCTTACTAAGTGCAACCTACCAGACAAGGAAGAGGGCAGTGGCTAAGAGCATGGAGCTGTAGTTAAACTGAGCTGGGCTCAAGATTACTTACCTCCTTGCAGTCCTAATTTTCTCATTCACATGAACTCATTCAGTTTTTTTTGAACAATTGTTGCATGAGAGAGAGCATATATGCAGTTTCTGGAACAGTTCCTGACATAGACCAAGAACTGAACCAATGTGTCAATTATCATTACCAGCTGAGCTCTTAGAAGCAAAGGATTATGTTTCTAGAGATAAATATGGACTCAATTTGAGGTTCTTAGATACATTTAGCAACAAAACATAGGTCCAGATAGAAAATACCACTAAATGGAGTACACAAATTTAAACTAGACAACTTTTATTTATTTTTAAGTTTATCTAAGGGGTGCTGACTGGTAAGGAATTCACTGTAATGGTTAATTCCCACTCATTTTTAGGTGTTGATCAGTGAGCAGGGTCCACCATATCTCAACTTCTGACCTCTCCTGATAATGGAGATGAGATGGCTCACAATCTTGATATTGAAGATTCTGTATGTGGGACAATTCCACATCAGTAAAATTAATTGTTAATTTTACCTAAATCACAACTAAAAACTTGCTTTGAGCTTAAAATTCTTGGCACTTCTAAATTTCCTTTAGACTTGTCCCCATCTTATATAATAAAGAAGTAATATGCAAATTGACCCTCATACCCTTGCATCATCACAAGATGGCTTCCTCTACATTGTCACAAGATGGCTGACAGTTGGGGAGGGAGGGGGGTTCCAGGCCTGCAGGAGAGGGCAGTTGGGGGCGACCAGGCCTGCAGGGGAGTAGTTAAGGGCCAGCAGTCCTGGATTGCAATCAGGCAGGCAGGCAGGCAAGTGGTTAGAAGCCAGCAGTCCTGGGTTGTGAAAGGGATGTCCCACTGCTGGTTTAGGCCTGACCCACAGGGGATCGGGCCTAAACCGGCAGTGGGACATCCCTTGAGGGGATCCCAGATTGGAGAGGGTGCAGGCTGGGCTGAGGGACACCCCCCTTTAGGGCATGAATTTCATGCACCAGGCCTCTAGTTCTAGTTATAAAAACATGAAAGTCTTCTTATTCTCTTGATCAATGATAAATCACTAGTCTGATTAATATACAAGTATTTCAAAATCTTTATATAGTATGCAAGTTGTCATTGAAATGAGGGAAAGAATATTTACATTACTGCCGAAACCGGTTTGGCTCAATGAATAGAGCGTCGGCCTGCGGACTGAAAGGTCCCGGGTTCGATTCCGGTCAAGGGCACGTACCTTGGTTGCGGGCACATCCCCAGTGTGCAAGAGGCAGTTGGTCGATGTATCTCTCTCATCGATGTTTCTAACTCTATCCCCCTCAATTCCTCTCTGTGTAAAAATCAATAAAATATATTTAAAAAAAAAAGAATATTTACATTACTACTTTCACTACTACAATGTGTACAGGATGTGAAGACATGAAACAACTGTAAAAAACCTTGAAAAAAGATTTGAGATTCATGGCTGCTGCTCCACACTAACTAATAGATAATAGGGTGAGCCTTCCTCATATGGAATGCTAGCTCAAGCCCAGCCACATTCAGTGAGGAACATCAATATAATTACAAGAAGTTCATTATTAAACTTTGGAAAAGATCTGTTCTTTAGCTGTGTTATAAATCTTGAAAAAAAGACTTGAGATTCTTGGCTGCTACTCCCTTGACTGGAATCAAACCCAGGATCATTCAGTTTGCAGGCCAATGCTCTATCTACTGATCCAAACTGGTTAGGGTGGTTGGAGATTTTTATCCAGGAGACATATATAATACGCTTTGGGTTTGAAGGGGATAATTGTTACTATGTGGAGAATGGCTTGTGTGGCAGTAGGAATGGAAGTCTGAAGCCAAGTTAAGAGACTATACAGTATATACTGAGTGGCCAGATTATTATGCGTTCCCAGATCATAATAATCTGGCCACTCAGTGTACATAGTATAGGGGATTTTGTCCCCCTGACTAAAATAAAGTCTCACATAACTTAAGATACAGATCAAGTGTTTTAATTTAACTAATTAATGTTGTTAAGGCAACAATAATAACATAATCTATCTTTGGTAGAGATCAGATAATTATAAGTTGATAAGATATTATTTATAGCATAGTATAGGCACTGTGGTCCAGCAGTGGGACACAGATTTAAGGTTATACAATAATGTTTAGGTGTGTGTGGATGGGTGAGAAGAGATGGCAGTGAGTGAAGCTGTGTGAGGAGTCTGGCAGGGGCCGGGAGGTGAAGGGGGGAGAGAGGAACCCAGTCTCACTAAAACCGGTTGCCATGACCCTCAAGGCCCATGGTATATTTTTGGAGATTTTAGCCCTAATGAGAGAAATCAGTTCTTTATGACTCCTCGCTCTTCAGTTGATCTTCCTCCATACAATGGGACAGTTCTGTGTGGAGCATAGTTCTTCAAAAGAAAAATAAACGCACAAAAAATAAGTCGCTGATTTCTAACAGGAAAAAATACATTTTAATAATTGTGCAATGAGAAACTGCTTACATACACATTACAGTCAAATATTTGGAGTTAAGGTGTTGGTCACATAAATGCGTGATTGTAACTTCATTTCCATTAAAATATTTCAAATTGTCCCTGCTGGCATGGCTCAGAGGTTGAACATTGACTTGAGAACCAAGAGGTCATCAGTTGGATTCCTGGTCAGGTCACATACCTGGGTTGTGGGCTCAATCCCCAGTTGGGGGCACGTAGGAGGCAACTAATCAATGATTCTCTCTCATCATTGATGTTTCTCTCTCTCCCTCTCCCTTTTTTCTCTGAAATCAATCAAAATATATTTAATAACAAAAACAAACAAAAAACGACTTCAAATTGCATTTGTGCTTCAGTGTACACATAATGAAAAACGGGTAACATAATGAAGACTGACCTTCCCTTAAGTTTGCTCAGTTTAATTCTGTTGCCTGCTTTTCTAGAATGCTGTGTCTCTAATTATACACAGTTTAGTGATACCAAGGAATATAAAGTTGTTGCCTGCCAATAAAAAGCACAAAGTTGAAAGAAGTTTTAATTGATGTTGTGAATCTCTATCTGTTTATATTATTAAATTTGGAATTAATACTAAATATATGTGTATAAGGTCTTTTTTTACATTGAGGTTCAAACTTCTCTCCCTGTCTTCTAATTCAAGCATTCCTCATAGACTGTGGTCCATGGCAGTGGCATTGAAGATGGAGAGAAGTGAACAGAATTTAAGTAATTTTGTAAAGGAAGACGAATGACTCAGTTTCTCACTTGAGTAACTTAGATGGCTAGCAATTCAACCTGTGAAAGGTAAGACAGGAAAATTAAGCATCCATTTTGAATACATTTGAAATACCTGGTTCTTCTCTTAAACTGCCTTTATTCTTGAATAAGTCATACCTTTCCTAGCTTCAGTAGTCTCATCTCCAAATGATACCTTTGGTTGCAATAATCTTTAAGGTTTCTTGCATGCATGAAAGCATGAAAGCTTTTTTTTTTTTTTTTAATAGTACCTTACATTTACTTTGAACTTAAAAAGCACTTTTTGTTTCCTTATAAAGAGTGAAATTCTATTTTCATGCCATAGTCCTTGGACCACATCTCTGCTACTTAAGGACCCTACTAAATGCTTACCAGTTGAGAGATAAAAGGAGAATTTGATGGTTTTCTAACAAAAACAAACAAATAACAACAACAACAAACAGGCATACAATTTGTCCTTCAGAATAATATTTATTAATACTCTGCATATCTAATATTGATTTTTCTGTGTTGAAAATTTCCGTTGCTCCTTGTCCCTCCCCTTGAGTCTATACTGTGGCCCTGGAGATATGAGAGATCATATGGACCTTTGTCCCCTAATTGGAGAAAAATGAGAAGGTGTGAAATCCATTTCTTTCCTAATCATCAGCTCTTTCTGAGAGTGTTGAGGAATTTAGAACAGTATGATAAGTTGATAAAGTATAGATGTATTTCCAGGGTACTGACAGTAGCTTCTTTTGAATGTGATAGATTCCTGGCAGAGTGCACTATTGAAAAATCTCACATGGGAAATCTTTGGTCACTTGCCTCCCCATCCTTGGGATCATATTCTATCAGTTGACTCCTTGTTTCATGCTTTTCATTTTCACAGTGATGTTGCTGCAAATTTGTATAGCATTTCTGGTTAACCTTTTAATAACAGGATCTTTGTAAATTAAAATGTTCCATTAATGTTGCATAATGTTCACCCTTGTACAGGTCAATGCAAATGGGAAATGAAGTTAAAAGTGCTATTTTTTCTTTAAGAGTAATGATGGCTTTCTCTCAGTAACTTTGGCTATATTCTATTTTTTCTGTAAATACTAATTTTAGTGTAAATCTATGCAGAATTTTCTTGTATCTAAAAAGTAGAATTACTCATAGGACCAAAGATAATCTTACTTTGTGTCCTGGCATAACATAGAGCAAGTATAGCTCATTGATTTCCTTTGTTTATATTTTCTGGTTTTCTGCCTATCTTTCTTCTTCTTTTTTTTTTTTCCTTTAAATATATTTTATTGATTTTGTACAGAGAGGAAGGGAGAGAGATAGAGAGCCAGAAACATCGATGAGAGAGAGTCATCGATCAGCTGCCTCTTGCACACCCCCTACTGGGGATATGCCCGCAACCAAGGTACATGCCCTTGACCGGAATCGAACCCGGGACCCTTCAGTCCCCAAGCCGACGCACTATCCATTGAGCCAAACCGGTCCCGGCTATCTTTCTTCTTGATCTCTTTTGGAGATTCATCTTCCTCTATCCATCTATTGAATATTGGTCATTCTTAAGATATTGTTCATGTCGTCCTTTCTTCTCACTGAATCTGCTCTCCTTAAATGACTTCTTTTTTAATTAACCATGACTGTAAGTATCACCTAATACACATGATTACCAAATCCTAACCTTTAGCCTATATATCTCTAATAAACTCTAAAACAATTTAGTTAATTCCTTATTGGACACACCCAACTGTATATCCCATACTTATAGCAAATACATCACATTAAAAACTATACTCTTTTTAAACTCTTGCCATATATACTCTTCCCCAAGTATTGTCTGTATAAATAAATGCAACCACTTTATGCAGACACATAAGTCAGAAACCTGAGAAACATCTGAGCTCTGCTTTTTTCCTCACCTCACAGTAGAAAGTCACAAAATACGGATAACTGGGTTTCCTTTACATGTTTTATGTACCTTCTCTCTTCCTTGTTCCCATGGCTACCACCTTTATTCAGGTAAACATTATCTCCCACTTACTTATCTCAACTCTTCAGATATCTTGGAACATAGTCTCCAACCTTTTTCTTCTAAGCAGTCCTCTGAACTGAACAAAAAGTAATCTTTGCAATCACATATTTAGTCCTATAGTTTTACTATTTGTTTTGGGGTTTTTCCTACTCTTTATTTAAAATGAAGTTCAGTACCTATGACATGGCACCTAAGCTTGTCTGTGAATCCTCTTCCTAATATCGTTCTTTTGCTATGCCCTCCTCATACCCTAAGATACATCTGGCATGTCCTATCCATCTTATGTCTTCTTAAATGGTGTCCCATCACTTTCAGAATAATCTGGAACACCTTCTCTTTGTCCCACAGTATAATATGCACACTTCTAAAATGGCCACTAAATTGTTTATTTACATAGCTAGCTCTATAGGGATACTGTAATGTCCTTCATTTTCAAGGCAGTATCTCATTAATGTTTGCTTCTCCAGTATCTAGGACAATGCCCACATATAGCAGATACTCAATAAATGTAAATTAAATGAGTAGATTAAGAAATGAATGATTCAATTAAATTCAATATCTACATATGAGTAATTATGGAGATAAAGTATTCATATATGGAGAGTTACTATATAGAAATTGAAATTCATCTAGGTAATATTTTATTTAATTCTCCAGTTTTAGGTAGTCAGTAAATTAATTTTATCTAGTTAAGTGCTTCCATTAATTTTTAAACCACTATACATGGCTTTTAAATTTTTCTTATCACTGAAACCAGTTTTGCTCAGTGGATAGAGCATCGGCCTGCGAACTGAAAGGTCCCAGGTTTGATTCCGGTCAAGGGCATGTACCTTGGTTGCAGGCACATCCCCAGAAGGGGGTGTACAAGAGGCAGCTGATCGATGATTCTCTCTCATTGATGTTTCTAGCTCTCTATCCCTCTCTCTTCCTCCCTGTGAAAAATCAATAAAATATGTTTAAAAAATTAAAAAAAATTTCTTATCACTTCACCAGAGGTTTTAGGGAAATTGTTCCTTGAGCTTCTTTATTTTGCCAATGGAAATATGTATGTCTTCAATCATCAGCTATGCTGTGAACCAAGAACCATAGTCAAATTTTCTTTCCTTCCTTGTTAACACAGAACCACACTGCATTCACACAAAAACCTACATCTCTCTAAAGTAAAGTACCAAATAAGTTCTAATAAGTGGGTTTTGGACAATTCTCTCCAAAACTTTGCCCCGTGAGCAAACATACATAAATATACACATTTGCACCTGTAGGCTTGACCCATAAGAGAAACAATCAGAAAAAACTTCAAGAAATTCTCTATATTTTATTTTCTGTTATATAAAGACAACACCTCATTCCAAGGCATCATTGTATCAGAGTGTTCACTGAACATCATGATTATATCATAGTCTAGATAGGAATTTGACATGCCTGCCCTCTAAACCCCAAGACATCTCTTCAAGGCTAGCTTTACTCTGGTTTCTGTTTTCCCTTACTTCTAATACCCCCATATAAAAATCTCAGATACTATGTGGAAATGTCTCAGCATCTTACTCACCAAGTGTAGGAAGTTTGATAAAAAATGGTTTTCTTACCTACCAATACCAAACTTAAAATTATCTAAGAAGAAAAGAGAAATAAATTAATGCCAGTTTTTGAAGTCATCATCTCATAAGGATGATGCTTTGCCTCCTCTGAGCTCCGCTAATTTCATTTGGGACAAGACTGAGATCCAGGACCCGTCACTATCCAAATACTTAAGGAGTGTAATTTGCAATGTGGTCCCAGTAGTATGTTTATCCTTATTATGATACAAGTTTCATGTATATGGATCCATCTGGGTATTAAGTCAATAATACCAGCTCCTTTTCTTCTGAACATCCATCCCCAGGGCCCAGAGAGAGAGAAAGACAAACAACTTCTGGTTTTCCTGGTAGAGATGGTATCTGTATCTTTTGTGACCTTTTGTTTCATCTCTCTCAGGGATCCTCAGGAAAATCTAGGAGGGCTTGGGCGGCAATGACCTCACTGTAAAACCTTTACAGCTGTGCTCACAGTGAGCCAGCCTATCTCTGCATTTGCCTGTGTCAAGAGAACAGGGACAGAGGAAGTCAGTGGGACCCCCTCCTCACATGGGAGTCCATTCTGTGGGACTCTTTCCTTCTCCCCACCTGGGAGTCTGTACTTGTTCTTGAATAAATCTCCACCCCTGCTGTAAAAAAAAGAGAGAGAGAGAGAGAGAGAGAGAGAGAGAGAGAGAGAGAGAGAGAGAGAGAATTGGACAACTCCTGCACCTGATCTTCTTTCCACGATTGTTGGAGGGAGCAAGATCCTCAGCTCTGACCTGCAAAATCTCGCCTCACTTCTGTACAGTTTCCTCTAAATCTAATATTTCTGAGATAAGACTAAGGCCACAGTGAGTAAAGGACCTTTTGCAAAGTGTGATAATTTACAGAAGCTGGGGTCTGGAGAGAGGAAGGGGTCTAGAAATTAGCAAACTAATTGGGAGGTCCAGGGTCAACTTACGGACTTAAAAACAGGGTTGGAATTTGTAGATCTGGAGTTATAAGTTGCCCATTGAGAATGAATACTCTTGAATGTCATGAATTGTCATTAGTAGGTGTATACTTCTATGGAATATCTTAGGTTTTTCCTTTGGCCATAGGGTTGGTGGAATGTATTGTCTTTCGTCTATTATCCATCCATACATCCAACAAATGTATTGGACACTATTCAAATGCAGTGGGGCCCAGAAACAATATCTACTCAGAAGCTGGAAAGAAGCCCTATAAGATGCTGGGGTAGAGTAGGAGGGGGTAATGTTATATTGTTAACTCTTTACATAGATAACCACTCGCCCTGACTCTGTACCATGAATTAATTCTATGAACACTGGCCAGATTAGTGATTCTGCTCTGCTTGTGCCCAGAAGGGAGACAACTAGATTTCCCTGCATAGCATCAGGAAGTAAAAAAGCGTACTGCCAACATTTACTAAAGCCCTAAACCTGGTGAGTACAGAGAAAACAAATGCCTCTTTGAAATTGTGTTTGTAAATCTCATTCTCTAATTCATTAATTCATATATTTACTCCTGATCATTTATTGAGCACATGCAATGGGCAATAAACTCAGCACACATTATAAAATAAGAGCAAATCAAATGAGGAAAAATGGGAACAGAATTAAAAATCTAAATAAATTAGAAAGTAAAACTATGAGAATATGGCTATGGGCCTTTCTAAAAAATAAAATAAGTCATTCTGAAAAAGGATTTATTCTGTGGCTGCCAATAGGATGGTAAAAATGTGGATCTTGCAATCAAAATTAATAAAATTCTTTAGAAATGAAAACAGTACATGATACCTTGTGCCCACTTAGACTAGTTATCCGAACAGATTGTATTTCTTACTTTCGTGTGGATAAGAGGATCGATGTAATGAACCTGAAAGGGATTGCTAGTTGAGTCAGTACACAGTGGGCACCATAAATGTCCTCTTTCTGTTTAATAACTGATCCAGATCTGCATTTGCTCCTCAGCCACCAGCATCCTGCAGTGACCCACACATGCACTGTTGCCAGGGTATGATGGAAAATCAGACACGGGTCACAGAATTCGTTCTCCTGGGATTCCTGCTCAGCCCAAACATGCAGCTGCTCCTCTTTGTGCTCTTCTCTCTGTTCTACGCCCTCACCCTGCTGGGCAATGCAGTCATCGTGGGGCTCATCTGGCTGGACTCCCGACTGCACACCCCCATGTACTTCTTCCTCTCACACCTGGCCATTGTTGATATTTCATATGCTTCAAATAATGTCCCAAAGATGCTGGAAAACCTTCTGAATAAGGAAAAAACTATCTCCTTTGTCCCATGCATACTACAGACCTTTTTATACATGGCTTTTGCTCACACTGAGTGTCTCCTCTTGGTAATGATGTCCTATGATCGGTATGTGGCAATCTGCCACCCCCTCCATTATCCTGTCATCATGAGCTGGAGAGTGTGCACAGTCCTGGTTGCCATCTCCTGGGCATGTGGTTCCCTCCTGGCTCTGGTCCATGTGATTCTCATCCTGAGGCTGCCCTTCTGTGGGCCTCATGAAATCAACCACTTCTTCTGTGAGATCCTGTCTGTCCTCAGGCTGGCCTGTGCTGACACTAGGCTCAACCAGGTTGTCATCTTTGCTGCTTCTGTATTTATCTTAGTGGGGCCCCTCAGCTTGGTGCTGGTGTCCTACACACGCATCCTCATTGCCATCCTGAGGATCCAGTCTGGGGAGGGTCGCAGAAAGGCCTTCTCAACCTGCTCCTCCCACCTCTGCGTGGTTGGTCTCTTCTTTGGTAGTGCCATCGTCATATACATGGCCCCCAAATCCTACCACCCTGAAGAGCAGCAGAAGATCCTTTCCCTGTTTTATAGCCTTTTCAACCCTATGCTGAACCCGCTGATCTACAGCCTGAGGAACGCAGAAATCAAGGGTGCCCTGAAGAGAGTAAAGTGGAAACAGAGAGCAGAATGAGGGATGCCAGGGAGAGGCCTGAAGGCAGAAGATTTGTCCTCTGAGATCTGGGGGAATGGTGATGTGAATATTAAAAAATCTAATGTCTTAGATTTTTGCTATAAATAATATATATTCATCAGTTTCTATCCTTAACATGGTGTACTGTCCAGAACATGGAGCATAAGTAGAAAGTGACAGAGAGCACAGACTCAGACAAGTCACAAAGTGGGGAAGCACAGGCACCGAGAGCCACAGACTCCTACAACAAATGCATAGCATGATCTGAGGTCCAATTTCTCTTCTGTTGAGGATTTGTTCTCTCTAATCTCCTTTTAGATTCCTCCCTAATTTCCATTGCCTTTATTGCTGTAAGTATATGCTAACAATTCCATAATATACTGCTACAAAGGGCACCTCTATAAAGACAGAATACTCACCTGGGGATAAGCAGGCTCCTATAGAGTCTACTTCCTGCTCTGGAATGTAACGACTAGAGAAGATGACATTCAATCTGAAAAAGCATCTGCATCTGAGCCCAATAAATCTATTTCTGTGAAAAGCAAAGTTTAATTATACGAATTTTCAATATGAAAGACAGAAATAACAGAATCTTAGTTTCATTTCATTCTGCACCATTTGGTTAGAAAGAGCTTGTGTCTAGAATAAATAAACTAGGGAAGTTGTCTTTCCCAGAGTCCTGGCAATGGAGCTTGATGTATGTCATCACCCATTAGGATGATCATTGCATAAAATATCCTAGGTGTAAGGAAATCCTGTGAAAGGAAAAAAAGCATCAGGGAAGGCTAATAGCTTGACGGAACATTGCAGACCACACTTAGAATCCATAACACAAGTAAGTCTGATAAGGACTTGTAGGAACCTCAGCAGAATTCCAAAGAATACCTGCTCCAGGGACTATAAATCACTTCTTCTGGACCCAAGTGATCAGAATAATATGGAAGAAGAATTTTTTTTTTTTTTAAAACACAAGTTCAGGACTTAAGTGGCCAGCACAGTATAATGAGTGATTTCTTTATGGTGTCTTCTGAATTCTTTTCCTCTCTATTCTTGTTTTATCATGCATCATTCAAGTGTATCATATATGTGATAGTATATTATCTGCTTTTTCTGGATTTATTTTTTATCTGAATTCTCTCATTTATGATTATCACTTCGTATCTTTCTTTGCCCATGAAAATAGGAAGCAAAAGGAAAGCTTTTCCCTCCACCCTCCTATTTTCCTCTCAGTTCTCAAAAAGCCTCATTCATTAGCTCATTTGGGAAAAATATTTTATCTCTGGCCATTAGTCTTTTTATCTCCATGGAATCAAGACATTTCCAGTCCCAGAAACCACAAACCTTGCTCTGAGCTCCTTGGCCTCAGTATACGAACAATTTGAATAAAGCAATTGATATTGGCTCTAAGAGTAACAAAAAGCACTATAGAATTATCGAGTGCCCTATTGTAAAGTTAGAAAGAAAGAAAGAAAGAAAGAAAGAAAGAAAGAAAGAAAGAAAGAAAGGAAGGAAGGAAGGAAGGAAGGAAGGAAGGAAGGAAGGAAGGAAGGAAGGAAGAAAGAAAGAAAGAAAAGAAAGAAAGAAAGAAAGAAAGGCTTTTTAGCTATACCTAGAAAAATTATTTTCTCTAAAATATGCATATCTTGTGTTAAGGTTAAAACCCCCAAAAAGAAGAGGAAAAAGAAAATACAGGATAATTTCTCTCACACAAAACATCAGCCATAGGTTTGAATTTAGAATATTTTTAAAAGGGCCTGTTAGGAAAATTAGGGATGGCATTCACTCCTGTTATGTCAGTTCAAAAATACTTGACAAAGAATGGGCCTAAAAGACTAAGTTTCTGTGAAGGTAACTGGTGCCAATGAATTATAGAGATAGTCTCCAGCCGGTCTGAGAAGTGGTGAGGACTGAAAAAACAAGACACAAAAATACTCTCTTTTGTTACTAAGCTGCAGGAAATGTTTGAGTATATGAGGGCATTCTATTAACTGTTTTAATATTTGAGTTTTAGGATTCTAATAAATTACATTTCGCTCTTATAATGCCTTTTGTTTTAGAGGTATAATCCTAATTAGAGTTTATTTAGCACATGAGTCCAAGTACTGCTTATGAATATTATGAATACACACACACACACACACACACACACACACACACATATACATTAAATATATATATATTTTTCTTTCAACATGAATCACTGTTTTCAAAGAGATGAGAAATAAAAAAGGATGCATTTTCTTTATCCTTTTTTTTTTGTTGGGTGGGATATTTCCCAATTATCCTATTTACTAGTACATTTAACCAGTAACACTGTGAAGTCAACATGATTCCTTTCTTATTGTTGACACTATTACAGATTTCCCATATCCCAACTTCCCCTTACCCACCTCCATCCAGCCCCAACTCCCCTCCCTCTGGCCATCACCACACTGTTGTCAGTGTCCAGGGGCAATGCATACATGTTCTTTGTCTTCACCTATTTTTATAACCTTTCATAGTTAAGGCAGAAAACTTTCAGAGTGATTTAGTAATTTGGCCTACACCACTCAGTCAGTTATAGGACCTAGCTGGGGGATTAACATCATCATACTTAGCTTGTTAGCTTTCTTCCCAAAATATCACAGATTTTAACTCAACATGGCTTAGCGTTGGCATCCACATGACAGAGCAGAATGGGGGGAAAAAATAATTTATATTATTCTGGTCAAAGCATTAACTGTAAAAGTCCTGATGATAAAGGTGCAAAATCCAGATGGAACACATCTGTTATCCAGCCTGTCATTGGAGAAACATTACTTCTCTTGATCAAAGCAGAAATTCTCACCTGAGTGGCTAATCATGCCTACTAACAACTCCTTTTCCATGCCACTCTGCAGTGCCCTAAAGAGGCAATCTACGTAAAACACCATGCTGTTCTCAACATCTCATCTTCCCTAGGATTCTGGTCCTTTGTCCATTATCAAGTTTACCTACTTGTTTTCCTTTATGTGGAATCTCTGGAAGCTTCCTTCCTCACGTGTATATGAACCTAGGATGGACCTCACCAGTGCTCTAGACTGATAGGATTGAAGGAAAGCAGGAACCCAGCACAGGCTCAAATTGAGGGGCATCCTATTTTGGATTCGTATCCATAATATGCCACAGCTTCTAAACATAAGTAAACCTCCCCAATCTGGGGTTTTATCTTAGGCAAAACTGCAACAGAGATAGCTAAGACAAAAAGAGGGCGAGAATCTACACCCATTTGTGTCAGAAATTCATTTTCACAGGAGTGTGGCTGGAAGGAGAAGGCTGAGGCCCTAAGAGGTGTGGGAGTATCAGAAATAGGAGCTGTTATGGTTATAAATAAAATAGAGGTCCAGTGCATGAAATTCATGCACTTGGAGGGTCTCTCAGCCTGGCCTGTGCCCTCTCACAGTCTGGGAGCCCTTGGGAGATGTCCAACAACACAGTCCATCAACACAGATTTATTATATTGATTGATATATGATCTTTTTATCACTTACCATAAAAATAGTGATATTACTTGATCTAAAATATTTCTTCAATCTAAGCATATATTTTAAACAAGTTATGATTAAATTACTTTCAAAATACAATGAGATAGCAGTTACTGGTCATTGTGGTATCAAGAGATAATATTTCAATATTTCATGTAAGTGGGTTGGCATTTTATTATTGCTATTATGAATTACTAGAGGCCTGGTGCACAAAATTTGTGCACTGGAGTGGGGGGGGGGGTCCTACTAGTAGCCTAGCCTGCACCCTCTCACTGTCCAGGACCCCTAAGAGGATGTCTGCCTGCCAGCTTACGCCCATTCCCAGACAGTTGGAAATCCCTCTCCCAGTCTAGGACCCCTCGCTCCTTACCGCCCACCTGCTGGCTGCTCCTTACCACTCAGCTTCCTTAGCACTGCTAGGAAGGCAGGAGAAGCTCCTGTCGCCACCACTGTGCTCAGCAGCTGTGAGCCCTATCTTTCTGAGTAGTTGTCTGTGGGCCAACTGCTCTCTTCCTTCTCATTTAGTTTGAGCAGCATGTGAGGGCAGAGCTTGCTGTCATGGAATGCAGAGGGCTGCCTGGAACTGAGGGGAGTGGCTGGGCCCACAGAGTGAGAGAGGTGGACACAGAGGACACTATCTCACCCAACTATGGGGCGGGCTGGCTGGCCTTCATCTTCCTGACCCCACCCAGGGAGGGACCGAGCAGGGTGTCCGCCTCTCCATTCTCCATCCTTCCATCTGTGACACCTGTCACCCTTGCCAGGCCTCCCCCTAAGTGAGTTCAGCTCAATCCCTGAATGTAAAAGGGCATGGGGGGAGTGCTCCATTCCAGTGCCCCCTGATTCCCAGCGAGAGGACCTGATCTCAGAACAGTGGCCACAGCTGCAGAACATAGATCTGTTTCAAGAAAGTTGGGAAAGCAGACTTTCATGTGTCCCTATTCCAAAAGGTGGCAGTTTATTCTTAAGAGTAACTTAAGTGGGTAAAGTCAGGGCCAAGCCGGGCCGTTTCTTCATTCAGTCTCTCTGAGGCGCATGGCAGAACCAAGTCTCAGCTCTTAGAAGGACACTTCTGGGTTTTTTAAGCCTAAAGGACAGTAGTCTGTTTCTATTCTTGTTCTTTGGGATTTTTTTTCACTGTCGGATAAAAGGATACGTACATTGGGAATCCTCTTGAGATACAATATTCCAGTTGTACCCATGTGAGGACGACAGCACCCCTCAGAGGGAGGGAGCCAACAGATGGGGAGCAGGGAATTCTGAAAACCAAAGCGATGACAGAGATGCTAAGCCTTTCCTTCATGCATCTGACACTCCTTTTCAGGCGGCCTGTAGGCCGGGCGTCTGCTGGACCTTTACTACTTGATGTCCTGCCCTGTGAGCCCTGCCCCAGCCCTGGAGTGCAGGGGGCATCTAGGCGCACCCCTACCCCCAGCTCCCCACTGTGCTTCCACCTCCTTGGGAAACTTTGCTTTTCTAGCTTTGTCCCTGCGGGAGAGCCATAGGGGAGCCAGATCCCTTTCCTTCCTTCTAAAGTGCCCTGAAAAGCGCTAAGACAGCTATGCCAGGAAAGGGCCATTCAAGTTTGGCAAGAGTTTGCGATTTGCTGAAGGCACGGTGAACAGTTTTCTCTTACCCCGTTTGTGGGAGTGTAATCTGACTAAAACCAATGGACTAAGCAAACAGAAGAACTTTCTGCAGGGAGCGCTGGGCCCCAGGTTTAAAGGCCAGCCACACCTCGATCACAGGAGACCCAGAGACCCACCGGTCCAGCCCGGTCCAGACCTCCCTTCCGCTGCTGTGCCTGTCAGGAGGGAATTCTGAGCCCTGGCTGGAGGCTGCAGCGACAGGGAGCTTTGGGCCGGGGTTTGAAGGCCGGCCACGCCCCCATTGCTGTTCCGCCCCTGTTGGCAGGGCCCAGGGCCTAGTCCTTTGGTCATCCCTAACTGCCCCGCCCCCTCTCCCACTGCTGGCCTGGTCGCCCCACATAGCCTCCTGTTCGGTCTTCCGTTCCAGTTGTTTAGGACGT